ACACTTTCTGAAACAAAGAGAGCGTTGTGGTTATCATACGGGTAGAGCTAGACATTTCTGCATTCTTCTGGGCAAATATTTCTCAATTTTTCAGTGCCAGATTAATTTTGTTTTTTAAACTTAAATATTGATGCATATAGTACAGTTTTATATTCCAGTTTTTGTTAATAAAAGTACAAAATAAAGGACTATACAGAATCTGGTTCTTAGAATAGTCTTTCACTGAAGGTTCGGTGGAAGAGTTTATTTTCCCTGAAACTCTAACATATACAAATTTACTATACTTTTCCTGTAGTAGAAGGAGAAAAAAAAACCCCAAAACATTCTTTCCCAAAGTAATTTATTGCCACTTTTAAGATTTTCTTATAGTGTGGCTCACGGGTGATGCCATTATCTTTCAGTATCAGGAGGCCAACCATGTTCTACAACTTGTCTCCTTTTCCAAGGGAGGTAATAAATGAATCGAGGCCCTTAGATGCTATGATATTATGTGATTTTTTTTTGTTTTGCTTTGTTATGGTGTTCATAGGTCTAGAATAAAAATTTCCTAGAAGTCTTTGATAATAGTAAGGAGTAGTGTACCGAAACTCATTAAAAATGAAGGAATTTTTATGCCTGAACCCAAATGGCTACTGAAAAAATATATCCGAATGAAATTACACAGTAGCTATTTAACAAAAATAAAGAGTTGACATAAAAGTTATTCACACCTGTGTGTTTTGGATCAGGACTGACAAATTTTGTGCATGTGTTTAAAATAGACTTGTTCCTTTCTTCCATGTGATCCTTTAAGGAACACTTACACATTCTCTTTGAACCCTTTTGCTTCACCTGTGAAACTCTCTCCTAAGATTGTGTGAACCATCACTGATTTTTGGGGGGGTGAGGGAATAACCCAAGGACTGCGTTTTAAGTAATGACTCTTACACAGTAGAGAACTAGAAACATGCACAGAATATACGTGCAAGGTAACTGATAGGTCTTAGTTTCTGTGTTTGTAAGGCAGCGTTAAGACGACAAGTCTGTGATTCATTAAAGGCTGTCGAGTGAGTCAGTATCAGAGACAGTATTTCTTTATATAAAAACTAGAGTTGTGTATTGTTTAATAAATAGCAATAGCTGATCTCAAAGCTGTCTTTGTTCTGTCCCTTTCTGAGCTCCAACATGTTTCTTCAAAGGAAGGCTTTGCCCCATTGAGCTTTTGCCAATGTCAATAGCAGCTGAATCCCAAATTCACCGCATTCCTTTGCAAATGCCCCCTCAAGCCTGTCCCTCTTTTCCAACATCTTGACAGGTCTGTGTAAAAACTGTTAAAATAATACTAATCACATGCAACACTTACAAAATTGGTAAATGAATTGTTAATCTTTATTGTCATTTTCACTTAACTAAGACTGAAATAACATGAAATGTGATATTCTCTGGTCTTTTTCCATCTCTGAGTGTTCCTGTTTGTGTGTGATGGATATCTGTTATTAGCTTATTTTCACGGGACTCTTGGCACTGGGAGTCAAGAAGGGGAGATGATTCTGGACAAAAGAAGATGCAACTTTACTGACATAGTTCATTTCCTTAATCCATCATGAATGAATTAGAAGATCTGTTTACAGGCAGTGATAAATGGATCTATAAGCACCTTCCTGGTGTCTCTGGTTTTTTTCTCTCTCTGGAGCTCACCTTTCTCCTCATCACTGAAGATAATAACCTTTTTTCACACTGCTGCAAAGATGTTAAAACCCAGTAACAGCAGTCTCAGAGCACATGGAGCAGCGCTAAGTTTTAAAATTATTTTAAAAAATTATTTAAAAATTTAATTAAAAATTTACTAAAAAAATTATAACCCCCCCAACCTTTAACTTAAAATAAACCTTTCTAAATTTATAATGTAAAATTTAGATGGATCTTTCTTCATTAAACAGCGTTCTCTTAACTAGTGATTTTACAAGTCTAAAACAGGTGCAATGTGTCATGCAATTTATGGATCCTAATACCTGCCATAAAGTATTTTATGATGGCTGCATTCTGTGTTATTAGTAGCTGTCTTTTTCTGCAGCCATTGGTGTTTGATAATAGTCTTAAAACACCCAAAATTACTTACCTGCAAGCAACATTCCAGATAGTCCCTGTTGACAGTTTGAATAAGTTTAGTGCCCTTTTGTTGTACTTTACCTTCAAAACAAACTGATTGAACCATCAATAGCTCCTGAAAGCTGACAGAGGCATGTCATCTGGTCTAACCCTCTGATAGTAGGTTATCTGTGGGAGTTAACCTCCCTGCATTGTTAACTGAAATGTTTTATGTACTATGCAACTTTAGGATACTGCTGTGATAACCTTAGTAACTAAGTCATACATCACAGTAAAGAGATTTTGTGCAACAAATAACCCTGGATTAAATTTACAAGGGTTGAATTGATATTGTAAAGTGTTCATTCCAGGGCTTTGGTAATCCTTTCCTGTATTTTTTTATGGCAAACTTGTGTTACGTTTAGATTGAAGCTGCATCTTCATATTTCTAGCTAAAATATATCCAGGAAGCCCGATGCTTTTCTTCAGCCATTTAATAAAAAAGTATTGTATTATTTTCATATAATATCGATTCCTTTTATCCCACATTTAGTAAAGGGAATATGAATAAATGGGATTCTATTTGGAATCCCCTTTTAAAAGAATTAATCACTGATATACCTTTGTTCTACTGGTGGGATAACCTTTATGGTACTTCCTTTTTAATATTTGCTCTCCTTAAGGAGTGCAAGTTTAAAAAAAAAAAAAAATCAACCCCAAACCTGTGACTTGTGGTGTAGTTTGCTGTTTGGTTTACGTGGGTGGGGCTTTTTGGTTTTGTTTTTGGAATTGGCAAGTACTGGTGCTAATTCTGTTTTCTGAAGTGCAGTCAGGATGGCTTAAAAATACAAAAATACATTTGTATCAAGGAATGCTATTATAATTTTAAGCTCTTTTGGAATGATTGAGAGACTGACATTAGGGCTGTGATCCAAAGTCAGCATAGATGACAGTGCTGTCTTAGTCTGTTGTCATTTTTGTTGCAGCCTGCTTTTCAATGGCATATTTCATTCCATCATTAAACATTTGCTGATTTTCTAATACCGATGTTTTCTTCACCTGAATATTCATCTTTTCTCACCTTACACTTAGTGGGTGTCTTTACTCATTTTTAGCTTCACTCTTCTTCACTCTTGACATATTGTTTCCTTCTGTACATGTCTTCATTTGAAAGAATCTGTTGTCATCAGAGCTTTTCTGCCAGTAACGCAAGATGGATAGCTTCTCCTCCACTGAAAGATAAGGGCCAGCAAAATGCCAGGGAGGACTGGAAGGGCAGCCGGGAAGGCTGGGAGGATTCTGAGAATGTGTCAGTCCCTTAGATTTGGAGCTGTCGTTTAATAAATGGTCTCAGGACATGTTCTGGTTTGTAAAGTGACTCTCTCTTTTTCTTCTTCTAATATCATTGAAAATCTTAGATTGAGGATATTCACATTTAAATTGTCTGAGCATTTCAGTACTGAGCATTTTCAGTTCACTTGTTAACAATTTACGAAGCTGTTGCCTCAGAGGAGAGGTGTACTTGACGGAAAGGTTTCTTTGCAGCATTAAATTTTGCTTGGTTGTAGAAGGGGAGTCTTACAGTCTTTTTCACATGTTTATCTGGTCTTGAGAACAGTATTATAAGATAACTCTTACCTTTTAAAACATTTTTTTTGTGTGTTGTTCTTCTTCAAAATGCTATGTTATGCAGAGTTTTCTACTACTTCGATTTCTTCCTCCCACTGTCAGAAGGGATTGGTATGAGGAGGAGGCGCTCTGACTGACTGGAGTTTTATGCAAAGCAGCTAGGCATGGGGAACATTATCAATCACCTTTCTACCCCCTGCCAGGAAGAGTCTGGCACTTCCCTCACTTTGCAACGTCTGCTTCACATTTGGTTGACTAAATGTAAATAACGTGTACTTGAGGTGGTTAGATATTTTGATTTGCCATGGTTGCGTGCCTTAGTTTGTTTCTGATCTGCCATGTTCTCTCCCTCTGCAAGCAAGGAGCCAGTGGTATTTTTTTGAGGCTAAAAAGCTGCTGTACTTTGAGTAAAAAGGATAAATAGAATATAGTGCTGATGGATCCTAACAAGAACTTTGAATTCTTAAAATATTTTTCATAAAAATAGTCTCTTCCTGTGTGCTTCTCCATTTAATCCTGAGCTGGGATCCATATGCCATAATGGACAGATACCTTGTCTCTCTGGCAGGACCAAATTGGAATTCTCCTTCCAAATGATGCCTGTGTCAAAATGTAGTCCTGGAAAGCAAAGATCAGGAATAATCCATGCTTTCTCTTGACAAATTCTTTTTTTAATGTTAAGAGTTTTGAACCCTGACATACACTCCTTTCAAGACAAAGGATGGTGTTTTAGGATGTATGGTAGAAGACACACTCCTCCCTGATTTGCTGTTTGTGTGTCTCTGATGTTGCCGATTATTGTGTTTTTAGGAAAATATAATAAAAATCTGAAGAAGTGTTGGCAAATGAATGTGTTCTGACAATTTGTTCAGAGAAGATAGCTGGCAGTTTCCCGTGTCTCAGATTGGTTTTCCCCTGCAATGTGGGATGGAATCTTTGGAATCACTCAAAAGTCCTTTTTCCAAACTGGCAGTTCAAAACAATTTCCAATTTATTCTATTTCTGGGTATACCTTATACCTCACTAACGCCTACAGAGAACATACGTGCCCATGGTGATAATTTTCTTACCTGTTTGATCCACCCAGTATTAAATTGTTATGGGCAGCTTACAACAAGCTTCGTTTGAGAGAGTAAAGTAAGTATAATAACTTTTTATATAAACTACGTTGCATGAAAAAGGTGAACAGAGAGAGGAAACAAAGGCTGTTGATGTTTATTGCTGTTATTTGTTAGTCATTTAGTCTGTGAGTATGTCTTTGTTTATTGCTGGATTTTAACTGTGTGCATTTTGCTATCTGTCAGATATTTTGTCCTGCACAAATTGACAAACCTGAAATTTCTCGATACTCGGAAAGTAACCAGGAGGGAGAGAGAGGAAGCAGTGGTAAGAGGTGCCTTCATGAAAGTGGTTAAGCCCAAGGATGCTAAGGTAGGAGAGCAAATGGAAGAAGTAACAACAACGTGATTCATTAACACTGTTTTAAAATAACTCCAGAAGCTTGGCTGCCTCCTTCGCTAAAGTAACAGACAAAACCTTTCAAATGAAAGGACTGGTAAATGTGGTCAGGTGAGGGCCAAAAGCCTTAGTAATTTTTCTGTGGCTTAATATCAACCTTTACTGTTAGATGTGGTTAGTGGACTGTGGTTATGTTATCATCTTTCTGGTCTCCAACCCCTGTTTTATATAACAAAGTAACTAATATGTGTCACTGGGCTTAAAAGAATATTTTTACCCTGTCTAAAGATATGTAACAACTGTGTGATATGCTTTTGTGAAAGAATGCAATTTTTCTGACAAGTTGTCCCCTGCCTTGTATGTTAAACACAAATGTCTATCACAGAGCTCACACCTATGGTGTTTATTGGCTTTTAGTGGACCAGCTGATTCTAATTTTGTATGATGTTACTTAATGTGGTGTCCTGCTAATAAGCATTGACAACATCAGAGAGACAGTTTCAGTGATCTGAGCTTTTGATACCACTTGCATCAACTCTGGGCATATTGCATACTGCTGGCACAAACAGAAGGTGAATGTGAATTCTCCACTTTACCTTCTTTTTCCATTGTTGATCAATACACGATAACAGCTATCGGAGCTTCAGAGTGTTTTAGTGCTGCAGACCTTTCTTAAAACTCCAATCAAGTTTTCAGTCTACTTGCTTTCTGTTTGCTGTTTTGTTCTCTGAAATATACCATCAATAATTTATTGCAGATTTCCAATAATCATAGAATCATAGAGTCGTAGAATATAATGCTGAATAATAATGTAGCAGTTATGGAAATGCACTGTTTGGTAGCATAACAGTGTCGCTAGATAAATGCATTATCACAAGTACAATTGCAGTGCATAACAAATTAATTCAGACTGATGCATTTGTAACTACTAAAATGTTAACAGTTCTGATACAAGCATAGCTTTGATACATTGTTTACCACTGCCTTTAGTTATTTCAGCTTCATATATATAATAAATGAAATAATTTATTTCTAAGCTGTTGTTGATATCTTAGTCACAGCAAACCATCTTTGCTGAATCTGGCCAAATGCAACAGCTGAAATGTGTTAGATATAGCATATGTATGTTGTCTTCTTTTTTAATTCTTCTTATCTGATCAGATTTTGGATCTGGTGAATCTTTTTTTTTAATTTTATTAGCAATTAGATTTTTCATTTAAGAGTCTGCTCTTTGAATTTTAACCAACTTAATAGTGTAAGAGAAGAAAAAAAGTGTTTCTTAAATCTGAAGTTTCTTTTCTGGATGAAACCTCTTTTTAAGTCAATAGCTAAGGGTAAATTACTTCACAAATGTAGGAATAACATCTTTATCTTTTATATCTGTAATTGAACCTTTTGTATAGTTTTGAATTATTTACCCACTAAGTCTTATGATAAAACATACATTTATTTCAGCAAATTTGCAGAAGGCTCAACTTTACAGTTGTTACTGCCATACTGAAGGGTTTTTTTTTCTTCTTTATTAAATGGTTTGGTACAAATTGCTGATGGTAAAATCATTGTAAATGGTTTTTATGGCATGAATCAATGCTTCTTAAGGTGCTACAAAATTACACTCATCATACAATATTATATACATATTACAGAAGTGGCTAATTTAAAATAAATATTAAATTGGGTGCAGAACAGCTATTATAAACCTCTTAAAATTGTTTTGAATTTCTGCTTGTTTCCTAGGATATTCATGCTTATAGTACGCATGTGTGCAAACTCTTTTTTGTCTGAGAACAGTCATAGAGTCCTCTCTGCATACATGTTTTCAGCTGCAGATATGTATGTATATAGCTATTTATAGCAAGCAGCATTCCTCTATATAGCACAAAGATGATGTGCACAATAACTGTTCTTTCAAATTGTATCATAGGTTATATATTGCATACATAATGGTTTTTTTTATTCTTCAGCGTTCAGGTTTCCTGAATCTTGCGCTCTCTGTCTGTTCATCTGTTCCCTTCCCATATAGTTGTTGAGATTTTTGACCAGCTTCAGCCAAATTTAGCAGACAGCTAGTGGTAATATATTCTAAGCTTTCTGAAACTAGTTAGAGGAGAATACATCTTGATCCAAACTAAGAGGAAGACTGCAGCACATCCAGTATTGGTCATCAGAAAAACTCCTTAAGAAGTTGACCTAGTGATATAAGACCCTGCTGATAGTGAACTTCCTAAGAATGTTTTTGTCCTTCCCCCTAAGGTAGTAGCCACTGTGTCAGCCTATGCTTGCCAGGAATGGAGTTGGAGCGATTAGTATTTATCTTGGTGGATGCCACATGGAAATGTTGTTCTGCCAGATGTAGTAACAACAGTGAGCCTATCAGACTTGCTTTTTCAGAAAAAAAAATCCCAAAATCCTAAGTTAGGTGGGTCTTTTTTCCCCATTATGATAAGCAGGCGATGGTATGGCTTATTCAGCATAAAAAGCAGACTGATGATCTAAAGAGGCTGTGATGGGGGAGTTGTTTTCGTTTTAGTCTTGACATGAAATACTTGGGAGAGCAAAATACCCCACCAAGAAAAAAATACACAAAATGAGAATAAAAGCAAGAAATTTCCATCTGACTAGCTTGTGTTTACTCAAACGCAAAAGTATCTAGCAATCACCAGTCATCACTAAGTCATAAATATTTTATTTCATATGAATTTTGTGACTTTCATTTTTCTCTATTTTTTCTTTTTTTTTTTAACAGAACACTGCACTTTCTTGTGCTTTGCTTCATTTCATCCTTTGTTTAAAATGCATCTGTTTGTGATATGACTGTTTTATGGAAAGATGCAGTCATTTATTAGAAAACAGTTTAATGTTACAATGCAGTGTTCCATCTCGCTATGTAAGTGAGCTAAACTTCATTATTCTGTGATGTTTATGTTTTCTTTTGTCAAAATATTGAACATTGTATCATGCCTGATTTTAATAAAGATTGGGTAAGCCTGGCTGGATAAGAGGCATTGAGCCAGATGAGGAAGCCTTGTTTAATGACCAGACCATGACCTCATTTCACTGGCATAAGTGTAGATCAAAGTGGAAGATGCCTGTCCAGTGTGAAGTGTGTTTCTGGGCATGACAGCACTTCACATCAGAAAGACAGCTCAAGAATACGACAGTCAAAATTGCTTAATTACGTCCCAGCTTTGTAATTATTCATCCCTGCTTCTACAAAGAGTACAGTTGTCATTTCTTGACATAATTATTTAAAACTGTACCCTTCTTTGGTTTATAGGTATATGAATTGTGCTTCCAACTGTTTAATCTTTAAAACTTAGAGATGCAAAACAGAATGTGATTTGAGAATACATTGTAAGACTCCATATTTTTACATTGCATATGATATAAATAAACAAAGTGAAATTACGATGTATCAAAGCACATAATAATTTCATATTTTAAAGGTCTATATTAATGATCATTTAATCTAGATGATAAAATGTGGATATAGCCATTATATCTAAAGTGTGTGGCTATGAATAGATACAAACTGTCGTAGGTCTCTTTAAATATAAATTTAATTGCTTAATACTGGGTCAATGCACTTGCTTTTATAAAATACATCTATTTCCCAGTATTTTGCAACCCCTCTGCCCAACAACTATTTTTTAGCTAACTGCATTTTTAAGGTTAACATCTTTATCGGTTTTATTTATAGTGGCAAAAGCAAGCAGTGTGCATTTGGTTACATGTAACAGTCTTGCAGCTTATAGGACCAAATCGTCAGTGGGTATGCAACTTTACCAAGAACGCCTTGTCCACTGGGTATAGAGGAAACTCTGTGCGACAAAAGATGGCAGTATAGGTGTTTTGAATTATTTTCCCCCTCAGATGCATTGTTTTCATCACAAGTTACAATTATAAAACCTGACATAGCTTTTGTTCTCTAAGGAACAAAGATGGAGACACTTAAGCAGAAAGGCAAGTCTAATATCTGCATTTCATGCAACGAGTGTATGTGATTCTTGCTCACACCATTACTTGGAGGGTAGAGGGAGATTATTTTATTATGATAGGAAGGGTAATTATTTAGGCAGTACAACGTAAGAAATAAGGTGAGCTAAAATCTACAGTGTTGCTTTCAGATCATTGTCAGTATTCTTGTTTTTAACCTCATAGGAAAAGCTCATTATCAAAGTGACCAATGCTGCTATGTGCTTTTTCAAATTCTGTTAAAATCAGATGAGGCATAAGGAGTGATTTCAGTAATTTATGTCCTTAACTATTTAACAAGAATCATTTTTTTCTTAAATAGAGATATCCTATCTGCTCCCAATAATTTAGGCAAGGCATTGTTGCTAATGCATCTCATGGACCTTTTTCCCCCCTCCCTAAAATAGGAAAATGGGGCTGGTTTTAAAAAGTAAGTAAAAGGTGACAGATAAACCTTTGGAGAACATCTGCATTGCTCACAATTTTTTTCCTTTTACCAGCACCATTGTGTAGAGATCTTGGCTTATGAACTTACCGCATCGGAAGTAGATGTAGAGCAAAGGGCTTTTAAAGTGTAAAGAATCATTGTGTCAATGAACTGCTAGCTAGTAAGATACCTCTTTGAGAGAGCTTCTACATAATAGGGTTTCTTATCGTCCAGATGTCAAGGTTTCACATACTAAAACAGAACAGCGTCATGAATTTAAGACTCCAACCTAGACTGTGATGCAGCAAATTATATTGACTTCAAAGACATTGTAGCAGTCATGCTACTATTTGGCACACTGAAGTATCCATTTTGCTCATTGGAAAGTTTAAGTATTTTAAGCAAGAGTCCATAACGTGATTGGCTCATAATCCCCTAATGACTCATCAAAATTAGGAATAAAAAGTAATTGGAAAAAAGTGCCAGAATTTATATTTCTATGTATGAACACTTTGGCGGTTTAGAAGAAAACATTGCTGAGTAGGATCTGCCAAATACAAGAGTGGTACTT